TTTAAATTCGGTTTTGTGAACGCCAAAAAGATATTCGGTGAGAAAAATGATCAAGTACAGATTCATCAAGGTTGGTACTCAATCTACATGTCTAAGGACGAACATTCGCCTTTTAATAAGGCTAGTGCTCATGGCTAGGCAATTTGCAGATTACTAGTTAAACGGCGATTTTACCCTTTTGGTATTTTGAGAAAAATTTCTTGAGAGAAGTTTTTGAAAATGATAAATTAAAGGTATTGCGAGAGATTGGAATTTGTTGGAGAAGTATAAAGACGAAAAGGTTAGTATAAGTATTTGTGGTCATAGCTTTGGAGCTGCGATCGCGACACTAACCGCTACAGATATTGTGGCTAATGGTATAATAACCGACCAAAGAGCCGCTGTGACAAATCTTGTCCCGTTACTGCCTTTGTCTTCGCTAGTCCACGTGTGTGAGAGCACTTCCAATGGGAGATTCTTACAACAGAGTTTTTAGCGGAATATAAAAACCTATCTCTTAATTTTTAATCAAAAAAACTAAAACTCAATTCTTAAATGTCTCCTGGATATTGCATGTATGGTGACATGTATGTCCAGCCACTGGACATATCACTGCCTTGAGGTTTACTTACACGGGGACTCAACGGACGAGCATAGCTGACTTCAGACCTGATGTGAAAAGAGACATTGGACTGGTCAACAAATCAGTAGATGGATTAAAAGATGAGTATATGGTCCTAGGACACTGGAGGGTTCTCAAAAACAAAGGTATGGTTCAACAAGAGGGTCGTGGAATTTAGTGGACCATGAGATTGGTGATGATGGAGATTTTGATTTCTGATTTTTTGTTATACTTTCGTTGTTAAGTGTGTTGATGTTTGGAAAAAGACTGTATACTTTTAACCTATTTAACGATGTATTTTTTTTATTAAAAAAAAACTTGGATGTAAAATATCTGGACCGTTTTCCCTTTTCACCACTTTATTCACCTATTAAACCCTTTTTTTTTTTGAACGACCACCTATTAAACCCTATATTTTCTTTTTTCAATGGAAAGAATTTGGCGACGACATAATCTTCCATAGGTTTGGCATCAGCTATTGGTAATACTTGATGATATGGTGTAAAACAATTCTTCCAACGAGATCGAACTAGAAATATATCAGAACCAAATCCTTATGCTAAACCACTAGTCCAAAGAAACCCTATTTTCAACTTTAAAAATTAAGATGTACACATGCATTGACGCAAAAATAAATTAATTAAACACGTGTATAGTTCTACTGTAACCGATATAAGCTTGATTGCAGTTACGTACGTCGGACATATTTTATGGTTAAAACTTTGTATAATTTGGGTCTTTCTGAAACAATCACTCATGACCAAATCGCTTCATATAATCAAACCATCCACGAGTAAAGCAATAATCAACGATCCCATAGAATATTTATGCTGATAAATGTCACTGCCACTTGTTGTATTATATGCGAGCTAGAGAAAACATACTTAAATTTTGATTCAATTCGTTCGAACCAAAAATTCCAGATATCAGTAATTATATAGAAAACAAATATTAATATGCAATATCTATAAGAAACAAAACATATCATAAATACTATTCCCTCTATTTCAATTTTGTTGTCGTTGTAAAGTAAAATTTTCATTTTAAAATAAGTATTTCTTTATAATTTCAATGTAAAATTTATTAACTTTAGCTACTTTTATATTTTTCTATTGATTGAAATGTGGTTAGGTGTATAGGTAATTGTGTTATTTTCTAGAAAGCATATAAAATTAAATGTTTTCTTAATCTGTGTGTAAAACCTAAAATGACAATTAAATTAAAACGGAGGGAGTATTTTTTTAGGAATGAATATCCGATCCACAATGAGTTACATGCATATATTTACATATCTTTAATGAATTATAATATAATTATAAAAATATTTTATTTTATTTCTTAAAGTAATTATACTAGCTATTAGAATTTCAATAAGTATACAATTTTCATGTTTGTAATAGAATATTATCCCAGTCCTTATTTATTTATTTCTTTTTATTTTATTTTTTTGGCTCAAATCGGACATCCAGGTAAAAAAAGAAGGATATCTGGGACACTGAATATCTAGATGACAAACAATTGAATCAAATTGGATAATTCATTAATCAGATGAAACATATCAGATCACAAATATCTTAAGAACTCAAGAAATTTGATTTGTGTCCATCCCTAGTTAATCCCTTAATTATATGAATGAAAGGCAGTTTAAAAAGTTTTGCGTCCAGATACATATCATATGGTGTTTTACACGCTGTAGATTAAATGACACATTCTAGAAATACCAAAACATAATATTGGGGTGTAAATGTAGTTTTTATTTTATTAAATAAGTGATTAAAATTGATAATAATATGAATTATCCAAAAAATAATTTCTATATAGATTGTGTTGTTATCTGAAAAAATATCTTTAAATATAAAAGTTAAAAAGTTAAAGATAAATAATACATAACTAAATATTAATTAAATAAAATTCTTAATTTATTTAATTGAAATGGAAATATTGAATGCTTTAAATATTTATTTAAAAAAAATTATATTACATAAAATCTTTCAAATAAAAATATAAATAACAATTTATCATTATAGCTTTGTAATTAATAATGCATGTATTAATTATTAATTATAAAATGTTTAGGCGTGCAGACAAAACACATAATATATATATATATAGGATTATGAAGTTTGTAATTTTTGTTAATCCGGGTTATCTGTTGGGCTGTGATCCAACCGAGTGATCTCCGGGACATGTCTAACGGTATCAGATAGATTCAGTTGTTCGCAAAGGGAGTTAGATATCCATATCACTTGGCCATATTAATGGATCAACCTGAATCAGTGTCGGTCTAATGATTTATAGTGCCCTAACAAAACTTAAAAATATACCCTTATGCATATTTTAACAAAATCATAGAGCAATACAAAAAATTGAAATTTTATTTAAAAAAATCAAATTCTAAACTGTTTATGAAAAAAACTAATTATTTATGACACTTATTATTGAAATACAGCTCTTCTTGTATTTTTCCTGCATAATCATTAATATCAAGTCTTTTAACTATATTCGTCTCAATTGATAACATAAACAACCCATGGCATAGTAGACTGCAAGTAATTCGTTATCATCTTTAATTTTGAAAAAACAAATCAACTGTAGCGATTGATACCGAAATAGTCAACAATATCCGATAAAAAATTTATGCGTTCTGAGAACAAATCTCTTTTAGAAAAAATCAAGCACTTTGAATTTCTAAAGTTATTAATAACTATAGCAGAATACTTAGTTCCATTACTAAATCATCACCAACTATGTCTGATGGCATATCATTCTGTAAAGAAGCTTATAGATTCAAACATATTGTGTCTTTAAAATATCTCCACTAAATCTGTTAGATTTTTTAAATCGGACAAAAATCCAAAAAAAAATTGATATCTTTGAAATTGTTCAAATTTGTAATCAAGAGAAATTAAAGCTTGATCTATAAACGTGTAAAAGTAATCAATTTTGAAGCTCTGCTCTGGTGGTAATAATTAAGTACACTTCATCAAGGCATAAAAGGATAATTTGGAACAATGGATACACTGCTTTGTGGCTAACTTTCAAAGATTTTAACTTTAATTTAAAACTGAAATTCACTATTAATTATTAATAATATATTTAACTTTAACAAATTTATAAATATTTTAGAAAAATCCAATAAAAAATATTATAATCAATAATGCGCAATAATTAATATGTATTTAGCTAAAAAAATTACATGTGTATAAATATTAATGATTTTAAAAATATATATATATACCCTCTTTAGTTGGATGTCCTAAACGATGGCTTTGATGACTTGCTTTCTGGGCCGGCCATAAGTTGACGAGGATTCAAATCCAGGTGACACTGAGACGTCATTCCTCACCCAAATACAGAGGTGTGGTTCGTAAGCTGCTACTAAAGAAGCTTCCAAATGTATATCGTTCTTTTTTTCTCAAATATATATGGTTCTTTTTTTCACATTATTCACAAAACCTAATGGGAGTTCTATATATATATATATGTGTGTGTATATTAAAAACTTTAGCTTGAGGACTCTGTTGGAGGTGTTCTTAGAGAAATCTGGAAGTCAAACCATCAAAATATTTATTAATATTCGTTTTGCGCGAGCATGTATGATGAGTAGAAGTTTATGATAATTGTAAGATCAATTTGGTAGATAAATAAGATACGCATATATAATTTATATACCATGCAATAAGACTTAAAATTTTAATATTAAAACTTTCTATGAGTTCCTCGTTAGTATGTTTCGACTTGAGTAATGCATAAAATAATTTAACAAAACTAATACCGTGCTTTTTCTTCGACAGCAAAATTATGCATAAATTCAGTTTCAAAAAAAAAAAAAAAAATTATGCATAAATTGATATCGATTAATTGCATATACACAAAAGAAGATACCATCTTTTTTGACAAAGGATAGCATCTATTTTCTTATATGTAACATAGTTATAGTACTTACTTACGTTTCTTCACAGTATGTCGACAACAAAATACTGTTTGTAATTACATCTAGAAAAGAGGTATTCGTAGAAAGTTCTATTAATCATATTTACATGAAGGTACTAATCAGCGTCTGATTTGACAAGTACGGAGCTTCAAGGTCAGAGTCAGTTGAAAACGGATAAGGTAAAACTATTATCACGGTCTTGTCTTTAGCAAAATAATGAAAATGATGTGGTTTTATTGATTTTCATTTATTTTTAGACAATTCTCTTAAATAATCTTTTTTAGGTCTTTATGAAAAATATGGTCAATACCAAACTATTTATATAAAGAGGCAGTGATCTTCACAAAGCCAGAACAACCTCGACACAAGATAATCATACCCACTTAATTATTTTTACGTCTTAATTATCAAGTCAGCATCTTTGTTTTTAGCTCCAATAACCTAAACCAAGAAAGAAAGAAAAAAATGGAAAAGGCTTCGACTGTGAGATTCTCTAGCTGTCGAGGAGTCGCGTTTGAGATTAAACCTCATGCAAACCCTTACGCCATCAATACAACTGATCAAAACCACAACGCAAACGCTGTACGCGAGGAAACGAGCCGCAGCTTTCGACTTCCAAAGGAATTCATCAGAGACGCTTCAAAAGTTTTCCCTTCATCGTTCGAACACTCTATAAGCCTAGACAGCAGCCATTTCTGCGATCTTGACTCCGACAACGAAGAAGAAGAAGAACAAGAAGACGATATTTACTACTTAGAAGAAGGTGGAAGCAATGACGGAGACGAAAATACAATTCTTGACTCTTCCCCAAGCAAACACAGCGAGAAACCGCAGCAACCGCCCATTCCAAAGAAACGCGTTTCAAGACTATCAATCATACTTCTTGATCAAGGACTCTTCACAGTTTACAAACGTCTCTTCGTCGTTTCATTGTTTCTAAACGTCATAGCTCTCGTTCTCGCAGCCACGGGACACTTCACTTACGCTAGAAAAAGAGCATCTCTGTTTTCTATCGCTAATATTCTTGCCCTAACTCTCTGTAGAAGCGAAGCCTTCTTGCGACTCGTTTTCTACCTAACCGTGAACCTCCTAGGACGCTCCTTTGTCCCTCTCCGCGTAAAAATCGTGGTCACGTCGCTCTTACAAAGCCTAGGAGGAATCCACAGCGGCTGCGGCATTTCCTCAATCGTTTGGCTTATATACTCATTAGTTCTCACTCTTAAAGACAGGGACAACACTTCAACAGCGATCATAGCGGTTGCGTCTGCGATTCTCTTTCTCCTCTGCCTCACTTCTCTAGCTGCGTTTCCTCTTGTTCGTCACTTACACCACAACGTCTTTGAACGCGTCCATAGATTAGCGGGCTGGTCCGCTTTAGGCCTTGTTTGGGCGTTTGTAACTCTAACGATCTCTTACGATCCAGTTTCCCGATACTACAACGATAAACTCGCCTCAAAGCTGATCAAAAGGAAAGAGTTTTGGTTTACGTTAGCGATCACAGTGGCTATTATGCTCCCTTGGTTGACTGTGAGACGCGTTCGTGTTGATGTATCATCTCTCTCGGGCCACGCGTCGCTGATTAAGTTCAGTGGAGGCGTGAAACCAGGGATCTTGGGGAGGATCAGTCCATCGCCGTTGTCAGAATGGCATGCTTTTGGAATAATATCTGATGGGAAGACATCGCACATGATGTTAGCTGGTGCTGTCGGCGACTTCACCAAGTCATTGGTCTCAAACCCTCCAACTCACTTATGGATCCGTACGGTTCACTTTGCAGGCTTACCCTATCTGGTTAACTTGTATGACAAGGTAAATATAAATTCTCTTTTATCTTAGAACTTAACTCATGAGAAAATTCAACTTTTTTGTTGGATATTTGGCAATTTTCAACATATTTTTGAGGCCTTAAGAAACAAATTTCAACAGTTTATTTGTTGGTTATTAGGAAAATTTTCAACATGACGCCTTAAAAAATCTGCCGACATATCAATTGATCATTAATATTGGCTACAATGAAATAAATATTTTGAAGGATTATTTTTCACTCAAAACTTTTATCAACCATAACTGATTTTAATAGTATTTTTCGATAAGAAAATGCTTAGATAGCACAAAAAAAACATTGTGACAGAAATAGCATTCCAGGGGAAAAAATCTTCAAAATAGCACTATTAAAAGATAAAATTACTAAATTTCTCTAAACTCTAAACCATTACCTTGACCACACCCCCAAAATATTAAATTCTAAACCTTAATCATTAAACCTAAATAAATAAAACATTTTTTAACTTTTAGTTAATGTTATTTTGTTGTTATTTTTTTCTTTTGTGTGTTATTTTCCGAAGAAAAAGTTTATTAGTGTTATCATATGGTATTTCTCTTAGGTGTTAGACTAGTAAGCAAAATACTGTGAGAAAAAACGTTCCTGATCAACAAAATTATATTTCCTTTGTTTTATAAAAAATGTCATTTATACGTATTTTACATATATTAAGAATGATTTTGTTTTAATTAATTACTAGATTTTAACCCGCTCTTTAAAAGTGCGGGATTATTTTGCTAACCTAATATTAATCAAAAATACAAATTTATTCATAATTTCTTCTGTATATAAAATATATTTTAAATAGTGCTAATAGTTCTAATTTTCTAAATAATTTTCTTCTTGTCTTGGTATGGCATCGTGAATTCTCCATCTATTAGCTTCCACATAATATGGTGTACATAAATCCTTATTTAAATAGGGGAAGTGATTAAATTACTACCAGAATTAATTGACAACTAAGTCTAAGTTAGTTAATATTTATGTTATATGATTTTGACCCGTTCAATCCGTCTTATACTTATACTTTATAAATATTATGCATGTTGATAGATAACCCATTAACACTGTAATTAAAAAAATAGTAACCATTATTCTATCAGTCATTTAATAATATATTTATAAAATATTTTATTTAACTTTCAAATATTATTTTATTTGAAATATATATAATTTGTAGTGTATTATGTAGGAATAGTTTTAGTTTTAAAGTTGTAGCTATGTTTTAACAATATAGATTCTCATAAATAGATTTGTTAAGATTAGATCATAAAAAATACATTGATGTACACATTTTTAGGATAAATAATTCACGATTAAACAGATATGTTTAAATGTATTATTAAAAGATCTATCTTATTAAAACAGAAGATAAAAAGTTTCCAAATATTACAATAAGTGGACATCAGTATAAAGTTTTTTAGATATAAACGTTTTTGTATAGAAGGAGATCATGTTGATAACAACTTTTTGAATGACTATATAGTTTGAAATGAAATGTTAAAACGCTTTTAATAGATGTATGATTGGAAATTTTAGTTATCTATATATAAATTTTATTTAACGAGTTGTTAAATATGTAAAAAAAAATTCTAACATATATAATTGCGTTTTTGTATATTTTGTATGCAAGCTAGAAATATATATATTTTCGCAATTAACCCACCATCATATAAAATATATTGTAAAATATAGTATAAAACATCATGACGGTTTATAGATTATGTAATAATCACATTTTTGATTTATAGAGTAATATATTTTTTTGTTGGCATGTGCACATATGAATCTTGAACATGTCAATTTAGTATGATGATTTAGTTACATTTACAGGTCGTTGATAAAAATGTCATTAAATATCTTTGTGTAAGATATTTTAATACATAAAATGGAAAGTTAATAAGAGTAATTAGGAGAATATGGTTTCAAAAATCTCTTTCATTAATGGGAATATTAGTTTGATTTGTTCAAAGAAATAATATTAAAATTTAAATTAAATGTTAATGGCATACAATTGTAAATAAATTTAAAAAGTAATAGTAGAATCATATGAGGGATTCTGTTTTAATAGTATAGATACCATTTAACTGATAGTATTTGAGATGGGTAAATTTATTTATAAGATTGATACGTTTTGCATTTAATATTGAGCTGAAAATAGTTAAAAGTTATAATTGTAAAACGACATTTTTATGTAACAAGGAAAAATGTTAAAGTGATACTCTTCAACAAATAGAGAGAGTAGATTATAAAAATTTTTTATTTTTAAATTATTTTTTTGTCCTACTGAAAATACCATTCAGATTTTAATATATACGTTTTTTACAGGTATTACTGGTGGCCACCGGTTCGGGGATTTGTGTATTTTTATCGTTCCTCATGCAGCCGAGTAAGGCCGAGGTATACTTAATCTGGGTGGCTAAAGGATTAGATGATAATTTCGGGTCGGAGATTGTGAATAGAATTAAAGCTTATCCTCATCAAGACAGGATCATAGTTCACGATACAGCGATTCTAGGACGACCTAATGTGTCGGAAATGAGCGTGAAAGCTTCCAAGAAGTTTGGAGCTCAAGTTGTAATTGTTACAAGCAATCCTGAAGGAAGTCGTGACGTTGTTAATGCATGCAAGGCTTCTGGTGTTCCTGCTTTTGGCCCCATTTGGGATTCTTAGAGCATCGCACCGCTTTAGTCTCTCAAATCATGTTTTTCAAGTTTTTATATTAATGTTTTAATACAAATTATTTGTCTAATTAATTTTTAAAATTTTAAAATAATTGTGCTAATAGTTGAAAGACACCTGGAGAAATCATTTCTCATAAATGGGTCAGAATTTATTCGTAAGTGAACTCAACACCATATTCTACTTTAAAATAGAGTAAAAATGATTATAGAATAAAAAAATGTTCTAATTTCACTCTACAGTAGAACCTCTATAAATTAATACTAGATAAATTAATATACACTAAATATCTCTATAAAATAATATAATTTTATAGTCCCAAATTGAGTTTTTTGGTTCGATTAGTATATCGACAAATTAATATCTCTCTCAATTAATAAAAAAACAAAATTTGGTGTATTACCAACATTATTAATTTATAGAGGTTTCACTGTATTTCTAGATTATTTTGGGAGAATTTGGTGTTTATACAAAACACAAAAAGAAATGAAGAATATATCAATGATTTTGACATAATTGACTAACTATAATTTAGCACACCTTTTATCTGGTTATACCCTCTTGAGTTGAAAGTAGCCAGTTAAAGAGAGAGACATTCGTCGTGTAAGATTCGTGAAATCAGGAGCAGTGGGAATGTGATGTCATGGGCTGGATGGAGAAACAGAGTCTGGGTTCAATGTAGGCTGGATAGAAGCTTTGGGAACGACGAATGGTTCAATTTATTTCCAAGATCGGAAGTGGAGTATTTGAAGATGTGGTCCTCAGACCATAGACCTCTGAGAATTAACTTTTTCCTGGAGTCGGATATCCCTGGTAAAGGCCGTTTTTATTTTGACAAACGGATGGTTGGTAGAGTGGGCTTTGAAGATGCGGTGAAGCGTGGTTGGGAAGGTGCAGATAAGGGTCAATGTGGTTCTCTGATTGACAGAATAGCTAGGTGTAGAAAGGAGCTTTCCAGATGGAAGAAAACATCTAGCTTAAATTCGCGTGACCGTATTAACAAGCTGTCACTGGAACTTGAGACGGAGATAGCAAAGAAAGACCCTAATGCAGAGAGGATGTGGAGTCTGAGAAGAGACCTGTCAGTGGCCTATAGAGAGGAAGAAATCTATTGGCGTCAACGTAGCAGGGAGGAATGGTTGCGCGCGGGAGATTTAAATACTGCATACTTTCATAACAGTGTGAAGGGGAGGAAGTTAAGAAACAGAGTACTGATGCTCCTGGATGAGAACGGAACCGAACATTTTTCTGAGGGAGCTAAAGGCCATATAGCTACAGAGTACTTCAGAGATTTATTTATGAGTACAAACCCTTTCGATATTGACTCCCTGTTTGAGGGGTTTGACATGCGTGTCACTCAAGAAATGAATGATGATCTAACTCGGCCAGTTACTGATGAGGAGATCAGACATGCAGCTTTTGAGGTCAAAGGCAGTAGCGCCCCTGGTGAGGACGGTCTTACTGGCGTGTTTTACCAAAAGTGTTGGCACATAGTTGGGAAAAAACTTTCTGAAGAGATTCATAACTTCTTCCGTACGTCGATTCTTCCCGCGGGTTGGAACCACACCCAAATCAGTCTTCTTCCGAAAATTCCCAACCCTTCTTCAATGAAGGACATGCGGCCAATCAGTCTATGTTCAGTACAGTATAAAATCATCTCGAAGATATTGACTGAACGCTTGAAGCATGTGTTACCGAAGGTTATCTCAGACACTCAAGGCGCCTTTGTGAGTGGTCGTTTAATCACAGATAACGTGATTGTTGCTCATGAGATGGTACACGGCCTACGTACTTCAAGTTCGATCTCATCAGAATATATGGCTGTAAAAACCGACATGTCTAAAGCCTATGATCGTGTTGAATGGAGCTTCGTTGAGACGCTACTAGAAAAAATGGGATTTGCCAGGGTTTGGATCAGCTGGGTGATGTCTTGTATCTCAACTGTTTCTTACACGATCCTACTAAACGGGAGGCAACATGGTTTTATTAGACCTGAGCGTGGCATTCGTCAGGGTGACCCTTTGTCTCCGTTTCTCTTTATCCTATGTGCTGAGGCACTAGTCAACAAGATGAATCTCTCTGCGTCTCAGGGTAAACTACAAGGGATTTGTCTGGGGGCTGGTGGTCCAGTTGTGCACCACTTGTTGTTCGCTGATGATAGTTTGATGCTCTGTCGTGCTAACCGTTCTGATAGCATGGAGCTCAACACTTGCTTAAAGCTCTATGGTGATGCTTCTGGTCAAATTATAAACCTGCAGAAGTCATCGATTATTTTTGGCTCTCATGTGAGTGAAGAAGCAAAATTGGGAGTAAAAGAAATTTTGGGTATTGAGAAAGAAGGGGGTGAAGGTACTTACTTAGGTCTTCCTGAATGTTTCAAGGGTTCGAAACGTGACCTCCTGGATTTCATTCGAGAACGGCTTAAGTCTAGAATGCATGGATGGTTTGCGAAGTCTCTCTCACATGGAGGCAAGGAAGTGCTCCTGAAATCAATATGCTTGGCACTACCAATTTATGCTATGTCTGTCTTTAGACTCCCTAAGGACTTATGTGCTAAGCTTACAAGTGCTATGTCGGAATTCTGGTGGAGTAGTGGTGAAAATAAAAGAAAGATCTCTTGGGTAGCGTGGACCAAGCTCTGTAAAAGCAAGGAAGAAGGAGGTTTAGGTTTTCATGATATAGAAAAATTCAATCAGGCGCTCCTTGGAAAGCAAGCTTGGAGAATATGGTCTCAGCCAGAGTCATTGGTAGCTAGAGTTCTTAAGAGTCGATACTTCAGGAACTGTTCTTTCCTTGAAAGTAGTATCGGAGTGCGTCCATCCTTTGCTTGGAGAAGCCTTTTACATGGGAGAGAGCTACTTAAAGAAGGTCTGGTAAGAGCAATTGGTAATG